GTTTATTAAAATAGTAATAATATTTTATTTATATAAATTCTAAATTAAAATACCAAATAATATTCAATTAAAATGTATGGTATTTTTATTTATGGCTATTTTTTTTATTTTTTTTTTTTTGAGCATATTTCTATGGTTTTAAAGGCAAATAAACGAGTGTTTACTAAAGGTTTTCCTAAATATTAAACTTACTTAAACAATAAAAATTATAAGCAGATTATTTATTGTATATGTAAAATTGTATCATCATATTTATGAATATTATTTTCTAATTCTGAAGTTCAATTTTTTAAATAATTATATAAGTTAAAAATAATAAATACAATAAATACATTGAAAAAAATTCTATATCATGGTACACTTCATTGCAAAAATAATAAAAATAAAATAAATAATAGATTAGATTGAATAAGTAATACAATTTTAAATTGTATATATAATTAGCTGAATAGCAAGCCCAGCTTCAGGTGCAGTTTTTTTTTGCGTAAAATCCTGTTTAGTTTATACGCTATATTGGTGTATCTTGATCTGATTTTATCTCAGATTTAGTGTACTTTAGTTTACGGACAAATTGGCTTCAGTGTACCTAGCCTTGTGAAGTAATTCAATCTAGAATCTCAGATTGGATTTTATAACATTGGGGTACTTTTTTACGTAGTTTAAACTACATCCTCACTAAACTTTTCTAATACCACTAAAAATAATTTTCATCAAAATCAATTAAGTCGTTTATGAGTGTWTAAGCTACAAACTTAGATTTGAGGTTATGTCAATGTAATCATTGTCATTATATATCAAAATTCACACTTGTACTTAGTTTGCCCAAGTAACCAATGGTTACCATTTATGAATAAATATTTTACTTATCTCTATTCTCTAGTACTACTATTACAATATGCAACCATAAAATAAACAGAAAAATATTTTCAATTTCTACCATGAATCTGAAAATTTTGTTTGTGGATTTCATTAAAATTTAAATTTTTGAAAATCCTTTTGTACTGTACTCTATATCATAAAATAAATTTGCTGATAATATTTCAAACTCATAGCTTCAAWTTATATCTTACTTCAAATATTCTACAGATGTTATCAAAGGAAATGCAAATGAAACAAGTCCCAAACCCTTACTATAATTATGTATAGCAATAATATTTAATATTTAAAAAAAGGAAAACTGATAATTAGTTAAATATTGTTATAATATATACTAATATATTATTACATATAATATGTTCGCAAATCCAATAACTTATTTTGTTTTTTTAGAAATTCAATGATCTATCAAATCTACCACTACGCAATGATTTTATGGATGATATGAAACCTCTATTATTAACAATAATAGGCAGCTTTCAAGATTTTTGTGGTAATACAGATATTGCCTCAAAATATTATAAAATGTTTTTTTCTACTAAAGAAAATAAGAAATGTATAGATATTAAATGGCAATGTATAATAGAAGATAATTTTAAATTGATTTCTCTGCATTTGCATAAATGCTCCAACCGACAAGCGCAATTAAACAACTTTTTAACAACTTTAAATTGCAATGAATTGTTAGAAAATGCTTGGCTCCAATGGGCAACATTAATTGAACATAATTTTAATCAGTTGCCCATTAAAGATTTAAATATAGCATTATCAGCTATTAAATGCTACATAATAGCATCTACATTTACTACTAATATCAAATGCAATATTGTAATGGCCAGGGTAAGTATTTATTGAAAATGCAAATTATTATTATTTTTTAATATGTACAAATTATTTTTAATCAGATTTTATGGCTTTTAACACATGATGATGACAAGTACACA